TCCGCTTCTTACGGGGTCATACGGGCTTAGTAGCATTATATACCCACCCGGGCACCCAATACGGCAATAGACACGCTGAGGGCTGCCGCAACACGCTTAAAGATGTTACTGAAGCGGTTATTATTCGATCGAAAGAATGCGTATAAAATTAAAAATACACTCAGAGAATTCGGAGGTAAGCTTCATGATCCTTGTTAAATTATTTATAACATAAAGAAGATAGGATATTTATAGTTTATTCATGACTTTATTTTTACGAGTATCCGTGCAATCAGTGATATTTTAATTGTGAAGAAAATTTGATAGACTGGCGATCAATGGTTTCCATATAAATCTCCTATGTAATTGCCTTCAATTGATATTTTTCGTCGCACAAACCCATATACGATCAAAATGATCGCGCTGTCAAACTATCTTTCAATGTTAACCAACCCCCGCAACAGGTATATTGGATTCGACCATTACGTCACGAAGACATTGTTGACATCGACTCTGTCGAAATTACAAGTAAATTTTCAAATTTTTCAAGAGAGAAATTGTTCTCATCGTTGTGATAATTAGTTGTGCAATGGATTTTATCGAACGGGAGTTCATTACAAACACACAGGTAAGTTTATAATAACCAAAGTTAAGTAGTTTGTTCATAATCGAAGAAATCCGTTTAAAATTTACGATGAATCAGCTCTGTCTGATTCATCGTAAATTTTAAACGGATTTCTTCGATTATAATAAGTTTATAATAACCAACGTTAAGTAGTTTGTTCATAATCGAAGAAATCCGTTTAAAATTTACGATGAATCAGACAGTAAATATGCAATTTAAGGTCGAAAATATAATTACACCGCCTGCTTAAATATAGTCAATAACTGTACTTTAGCTTTTTATCCATAGGTATTGTATGCGACTTTTTACTTCGTCAGGCATATCAAATGACGCAAAGCTTGAAAATAGGTTTTTGGAACATCAATGGGCTCCCAACGAAGTTTAACGATGTAGCTAGTAGAGGTAGAATAGAACAAATTGTAAATAATTTAGATGTTGTTTGTTTTGAGGAGACTTGGGTTACCCAAGAGCAAGTAGATTTAGATTGTTATAAATATTCTTTGTCAAATTATACAGGTTTTCTATATGCAAGAAATAGCTGCACCTCCGACCATACGTATGCAAGAGGCGGAGTTGCAATATACATCAAATCACATCTATTAGCACTTTCAAATTCCATAACTTTTAAAAGCAACCTTGACGGTGACATAGTTTGGTGTAAAATAAACAAATCCATCCTCAGTATTAAGGACGACGTATATATTGGAATTGTTTATATACCACCTAAAAATTCAAAAATTTGGCATAGAAAGAATTACGATCCATACGCAGCCCTTGAAACCGATATAATGAATCACCAAAAACTAGGCAAAGTAATTATAGGCGGGGACTTCAATGCAGGAACTGGATCACTGGATGATATATTTCATACCGAAGAACCATTAGATCGAGACAAACAATTCCCCTTTTTTACTTCACATAATTCATTTATTAATAATATACCAATCAAACGAAACAACAATGATACCATTGTTAATACTTTCGGAAAAGATCTAATTAATATGTGTACTAATACGGACATGTGTATTTTAAATGGCCGGACTTTAGGTGATGTTTTGGGTTCTCCGACATGCTATCACTATAACGGTTGTAGTACCGTCGATTATATTTTAGTTCAACATTCCATATTTAAAGAAATAACTTCATTTAATATACTTCCGATCAACGAATTTTCTGATCACTGTCTCATATATTGCGAGTTTAGTCCAGGTCAAAACAGTCACTACACTCAAAGATATAAATCCAGAAGGTCAACACGCGATAACATATCAGTAACGCCAATTAATAAAGACAACAACTTGCATGCTGCTAACTTTGTTTGGGCACCGGGATCTGACGAGGCGTTTAAATTCTGTCTAAAACAATTAGACTCGGTAAAACGCTCAAACGCTTTTCTCCTTTCAAACTTCGACACTTCATTAAACGGGATAAATAATGCTACGGAAATGTTTAGTGATATCCTTATAAGTGCGGCCAAGACTAGTCTTAAACTGATAAAACATAAAAAGAAAAGAAATCAAAAGAAGAACGAATGGTATGATAAGGATTGTAAACGCCATCAGACCGATATGATTAAAGCCAAATGGCAACTTCAAAAATATCCAAATGATAAAAGTTTATTGAAAATATATTCGGACAGACGTAGGGCCTATAAAAAGATAACCAAATTTAAATCTCGAGAAGTAAAAAATAAAATTTTAGATAAAATTAATGCATTAGAAACCAACAACCCAAGGGAATATTGGAAGCTTGTGAATAAAATACTTGAAAATAAAAAGTCTAATGAAGATCCAAATATTTCCTGCAGTGAATGGGAACAGCTTTTTTCTCAAATATTAGCGACGGATGAAGACCCTAGTTTACCACTCCACAGGGAGATCAGAATAAGAACTGAAACTCTTTTAGAAACTAAAAATATAAACCATGACATAAATAAGCCCATCTCCGCGTTTGAATTTAAAACAACCGTAAGAAATCTAAAGAACAACAAATCCAGCGGACCAGACTTGATAATTAATGAAATGATTAAACATTCCTCTAGTATTCTTATTGACCAATACCTCAAGTTCTTTAATCTCATTCTCTCCTCTGGACATTTTCCGGACAAATGGACAGAGTCATATTTAATACCTGTCTATAAGAAGGGAGACATTAATAATGTTAATAATTACAGAGGAATTGCGTTAGCTAGCTGTTTAGGCAAAACGTTTTTGGCAATTATTAATCAACGACTCTCCGAGTACCTAGAAAACAATAACATTCTTGATAAATCACAAGGAGGATTTAGACCAGGAAAAAGAACAATAGATAATTTATTTATATTAAAGACTATTATTAAACGAAAATTATACGAAAAGAAAAATTTGTATCTATGTTTTGTCGATTTCAAAAAAGCATTTGATTCAGTATGGCGAGCTGGACTTCTCTGCAAATTAGTTAAAGATAATATAAACGGTAATGTATATAATATTATACAATCGATGTATCATAAAACAACTTATAAGATAAAATCTAATGATAAATTATCCGAGGTAATTTCTTTGACGGTTGGTGTCAAGCAGGGTTGTAACATGAGTCCAACCCTGTTAAATATATATGTTAACGATCTACAAAACTACCTTCAAAAATCAGCTAGCACCCCGCTGCTTAATGGTCAACCGTTATCCCATCTTATGTTTGCGGATGATTTAGTTTTATTGTCCTCTAATGAGGCTGATCTACAGAATCAATTAAATAATTTATCCGAGTTCTGTTCCGATTGGCAACTGAAACTTAATCCAAATAAAACAAAAATAATGACGTTTCTTAATTCTAAAATAAGTAAAAAGCAAAATTACATATATAAATTTTATTTTGAAGAATTTGAACTCCAAAATACCGAAACGTACAATTATCTTGGATTAACGATTATTCATAATTCTAGCTTTAAAACCGCATTTTTTGACCAAATGAAAAAAGCCCGACGAGCGTGGTATGCGATAAGACAGAAACTATGCTGTACTGAATCCCTGCCCTCTACAGTAATGATAAAACTTTATCATTCTATTGTTAAGCAGATAGCCCTTTATGGGGCAGAGATTTGGGGTTCATACGTTATCAAAAACAAAAACATAATTAAGATTGACAGATGGGATAAATTTGAAGAAAACAGAAGTACGATCAACATTTGTAAATCCATTCTCAATATGCCTAAGCGTGCTAGTAACATGGGATGTCTAGCTGAATGTGGTATCCATCCACTATCTCTGGACATATATCAGCGTATGCTTCTTTACTTCAAAAGATTCTTATCGGATAATAAAAACAAACTCCTAGACACGTCATTTGTAGCGGATTATGAACTTTCTTGTAAAACTGCTGGTTCAAGAAAATCATTTTGTCATAGCATAGGGGTTTTAACCAGATATTTTGAACTTGAACAAAATGACCTAAAAAATAGTGACATAAAATCTGCCACCGAAAAGAAATTTGTCGATCTTTTCCTAATAGTTACTGATCAACAAGAAAATTCGCAATCGATCCATAAACTTCGAACGTATGGAAAAATTAAGCCAAATTTTTATGCGATACCGTTCTATCTGCACTTCGTCAAATTGAAGGCCCATAAAATTGCGTTGACTTCGATTAGGCTTAGCACACACCATCTCGAGATAGAGCGTGGTCGGTATAAAAATATTCCGCCACATGCACGTTTATGTAATCAATGTAATAATAATGAAATAGAAGACGAATATCATTTCATATTTGACTGTAATAAATATAACAATCTTAGAAATTCAAAATTTACGCCAATTTTCAAAAGCAATCCGCACATCTCGTGCAATATGATTAATGTTTTAAATCCCCCAAACGAAATTGCCAGTCAGGTTGCTTCATATTATATAAGTGTCTCCAAGAAAGAGCATCAGAGTTACCTGTTAACCAACACCCCAGTTCAATATAATATGTTTATTATACTAATACTTACGGTAGAAATAGTTTGTTTATTTTTCAGGCTAGTTTAGATAATTTTCGTTTTAGCTCTATACTGATTCTCATTATACCGACCATCTTTTAATGCCTATAGACTTGTTATATCACATTGTATACATCCATAAAGGATCACCCCAGATGTTATGTTACAATTGTATGATCAACTTTTGTTTAAACTGTGTATGCTGTCCTTGGTGGATGCAATGATACAAAACAATCTTATCTTATCTTATCTTGCAATGCAGATAATCATGAGGCAGCCCCAAGGGGCTCTGGGGATTTGTTTTGCTCCGGCCATGTCATTAAGCATATAACTCAACTGAAATTTTTTCCTTTAAACCAAGGATTGTAAATTGATAGGCCTGTAGACACATTAACTTATATGCTAAGTAACGCTCGCTGTAATATAATACACTTGGTCTATACAGCAGGTCGGAATCAACATGATTATTTGAAGAGTTGGCCTTGACCTGGTGTTTCGGTGTGATAGGCGACTATTGAGCTTCTGTATATATAAATATATATAAAGTATATATCAACGTTCTCTGTAACAGATGCTATCAAGCTTTTACAGGGCTGCATTTACTCACAAACACGTCACGATTTCTAGTATAGTCATAGTGTTCGTACAAGTGAAGAGATATTAAAAATGTGTTAGAATCATTGACCGACATTTCAGAAAGGCAAGAGAAAAGATGGCGGTAAGCTCTTTCTTTTTTTTTTACTTTTTTTTCATCCTCGTCCAGTCTTCTTTTTCACTTCACATCTCTTTCAGATTAAGTTACTGGAGTAAGTAAACTGGGCCTTTGTCACCGGTTGTAAATATATAATATATATAATTCTGTATTGAGTAGACGTTACCCCCACACACCCACACACACACACTCACTCCCTCTCTCTCTCTCTCTCTCTCTTGTTTTGGTTTATGTTTGTATACAGGTTTTGAGTTTTGTTCTTTATACGTTTATACTGTCTGTCGCCCCCAGTTATGAGCATATCATTTCAAAATGTATATTTGTTTAAATATATAGTGAGATCATAGACCTTATAATATTATCGAATTCCTATTGAATTTCAGCGATTTCTTGCAGACCTATTCTCTTTATTCACCCTGTAGAATCGTGTGACAAAAGTTATCATAAAATCTGAAATACATATGAATTAATAGGATTAGTGAAACACAGACGCCTATTCAGCAATTTGGCCACAGATCACTAAATATTTGCCCATTGACTTTAATGTTAATTCTCGTCTCTTAGACCGGTTCTAACTTTTTCCCAAATTTTCTTTGGGTAGAACGCTTTCTACCACAGATGGAGCAACATGTGGCAACCTCTTGCCCAAAAGCACGTATGAGGTTCACCTTGGAAAACTTGAGATACACAAGCTGGAAGTAGAGACAAGAAAACATGCAATTTTGGACCCTACATTTCAACCTAACCAACCTCTCAACTCTTGTATCCTTCCGCCTCAAAATCATGAATATTCACCAAAACCTGGTAGAAAATGTATTTTCAAACCTTTTTCTTCGATTCTACACCAAAAAGTCAGCTGTGTCCATTTAATCTTTCTGGAGTTGTGTCCCTTGCTCACTCTAGTTTGTTTTCCCGCGTTATCTATTAATTAAATCAAATCTATAGTGGGGTTTTATTGTAGTTTTTTCATGGTTGTCTATTAATTCTATTAAAGCTATAATGATTTCTTTACTAATTTGTTTTCCAAGATTAAATAAAGAGCTGTCAGTTCTCGCAATAATATGCTGAAAATTTCAATCAAATTGCTTCACTCTGAACCGAGATATTAGCGATTCAATTTTAGGTTAGCCTCGGTCGCCAGGTACGACAATAAACAATGTCTCGATTACATTAAATCATTCAACACAAAATGTATTCAAATCCACTAAATGTGGCAGGCAGACGATGGCATCGAGAGTTGATTATGATCTGGATAAGTTAATTAATGTCTAATAATTAATAATTCAGATAGCATTCCAGACCCAAAGAAAGGCCTGCAATAGGTAGATTTAGTTCTTGCATAATGCATTTATTTTTTAATTATTTTGTATCAAAGGTTTTCCAGTGTTGTCTATTTACTATGTTAAATCTAGAGTTTTGTTTCTAGTCCACAGCAAATAATATTAAAGGGGAGAGGAGAAAAAATTCAATTAATAACAGGCTACTATATACTGTGAACGAATCACCTCCATGGCAAATTACTATTATTCTGGGATTCCAGGTAAGTGTTTTGTAATTTTATCATCCTATCTTATTAAAATCAACGAATATTTCGGACCTTTCTCACAGGTCCAGTGCTAAATTCAAAAAAAGTAGAAAATAATCGAAAATAACTGCCTGTTTCAGGCCTTTCTCACAGCAAGAAGCAAATAAACAAATATAACTGTCTGTTTCAGGCCTTTCTCACATGCCTGGGCAGCACGTTTGGTTACCCGATTTTGATCTCATCTGTTCTGTGTTTACATAATGATAAACTCGGTCTTGCTCAGTTAATGGGAACAAGTTTTTTCGTAGCGGGTATAGCAACACTTTTACAGACATCCATCGGAGTTCGGTAATTCGTTTCTTTTTTCTCTCTTTTATTTACTTTTTGGACCAGGAACTAGTCCACAGCCGCTACTCATCTTCGTGTTTCTGGGGGCATCGGTCTTCGAAAAAAATCCTGAGGCTCCACCCTATTTCAGGTACGACAGACATGAAACTTATCATGCAATGAGATGAAAAGAAATGGGATTTAACGTCATACTGCTCTGCTCCGAAGACGGGAATTTATCATGCTTGCTTGCATCTGTGACAATTGGGCATCGATAGTTGGATTTAACGTCATAATTATAAGATGGCTGCGATGACGTCATACCAAGTTCCTGGTCCATAGTACGATGGCACTTGTTTCTCACAGATAATCGCATTCGAATTATTGCTGATTATTACTTACGGCGTCGGACAACATAGTTGCCGTGTGTAATAAACATTAGCAGTTTGGATCATTTTTATGCACGTTTCGTCGTCTGGCAACCTATTTTTCTATTCGGGAACACGTACTGCACAGGAAAATGTAATATCTAACATCCTTGCAGATGTTAATCTGGGGTAGTTTAAAAATTGGTGTGGCATAGAATCCTATCAGGCTTGGTCTAAAAGACATGTCAATCCCTTCATCCATTTGAAACTGTTCGTAATTTCATTGTAGACTACCGATTCTTCAGAGTTCAAGTTTTGCTTATGTAGCTCCAATCATCTCAATGTTGTCGCTGGATAAATGGAAATGTATTTACTCAGACAAATCTTGTAAGTTATAAGTAGATGTATGTTAATCAATGTGTCAGCAACGATAACCAGTGGAACTCCCTGTTGTTAGGCGTCCATGTTTATAACAAACATGCTAATCACGGAAAAGTGTCACGGTCGTGTGCATTATCCTTTAACGTCAAACGGGGTGTTGGATTTCTCTCTTTAAAAAGCTCAGTACCTTTAAAAAACTCAGTATGTATGTATATACGTCAAAATGACGAACGATATAGACCTTGTATTTCCTAAAAAATGTTGAAGGCCAGAAAAGGAAAAAAGACCCTCCCCCTGCAAAGAGTAAGGTCGCCTGTTCTGCTCTCAAGATTTATTCCACTGGCATTCGATCCGTGAACATTATTCGTCTTTGGTTTTATTTACAGTTAACCAAACCTTGCTTCCAGAGGTAGGTAGCGATGAACACAGAGAAATGTGGATACCCAGGATCAGAGAGGTACGTACTATCACGATAAATTACAAGTACATCCATGGTTTGAGATCTTCAACAAAATTGATCAATGGTTTGAGATCTTTAACAAAATTTATTACTAGTTTTACCTTGAGGTGACATTTTAACATCAGATTGATTTTGTATGCACCGTTAATTGGATACATTGTCATTGGGTTCTCAAGAAGACTGTCAGAGATGACTTTTGAGCTTCGACGGAACACATCTTTAGTTATTGTGTTTCAGATAAATGGGGCCATAATGGTGGCGTCTTTATTACAAATAGTTGTAGGATTTAGTGGTGTATTAGGGATAATGATGAGATTTATTGGACCGCTGACAATTGCTCCAACCATCACCATGGTATCTTTAGCCTTGTTTGATATCGCCTATACGAAAAGTGAACTTCAATGGTGGATAACAGTAATGTATGTATTTCTGCTTTGCATATAACCTTATATATGTTTTCTTAGTTCTTTGTACAATGTTCGTTTCATTTTTATACGCCCACGTCCGTCCGTCGGTCAAAATTTCTTTTGGACACTCTGCAGACTACATTTATCATCTGATTGTTTGAAATTGATATAAGAATTATGTTGTTAACATTAGTGGGATGAAGAATTCTATTTAATTTCGATAATATCCGATGACTTCTTCTGGAATTATGGCCCTTGTTTCACTTTGTTGTACCATGTGAAGGCTCTAACGACAAAATTATGAAATCTATATGCATCATTTAAGTTAGCGAAACGAAGACGCCTATTTAATTTCATGGCCCTTGTTTCACTTTATTGAACCATGTGAGCGCTCTAACGGCAAAAGTTATCATCCGGTCTGTATGGAATTTATATGGACCATTTAAATTAGTGAAACGAAGGAGCCTATTCAATCTCATCAGTTTCCGTTAATTACGTCTAGAGTTATGGCCCTTCTTTTACTTTGTTGAACCTAGTGAACGCTCTAGCGACAAAAAAAAACATTATCAGCCGATCGGTATGAAATCTCTATGCATCATTTAAATTAATGACACGAAGAATCCCATTTCTGTAAATTACTTCAAGCCCTTGTTTCAGTTTGTAGAACCTTTATGAACCCCCAAACAACGAAAATTATAATCTGATCTGTATAAATTATTTTTCAAATGCCCCCAATTACCTACTAAAGAATAAATATGTGACAACCATTTTTGACCATCGGACGATTTAGTTAATGTGGGCGTATGTTTCGATGCCTGGCAACCTACCTTTTTATATTTTAGGACTGTTGTTTTGATCACTATATTTTCTCAGTACTTGAGGAATATCAAGATTCCATGCTTTACATTACGACGATCACCCGGATGTAGACGAATAGATTTACCGATATTTAATCTATTTCCAGTAAGTAAGACTCTTCTAGTCAAATATAGTTTCCAAAATGTTTACGGTCTTGAGATGGGGAAGCTTATTGATGTTCAACGATAATTACTTACATAGTTATGGCCCTGGATCAATGTGAACGCTCCAGCTACTAAAGTTAATATCCTGTTGACTTTAAATCAATACACAGTGTTTAAGGTCATCAGACGAAGAGGCCTATTGTTTTTCAACGATTTCCCATAATTACTTCCAAAGTTCTGGCTCTTGGTTTTAAATGTTTTGTATACTAAACGTTAGTATAGGACAGAACTAGAAGTCAAACAAATTCTATTTATTTCTGATAATTACATAATCGGTTGTTACGTGTACTCGAATTTGAGTGTGTTGTACATGTTTTCATTACTGACAAAAGAAAACAATATCCGACAACCCTTGTTGACTGCCCGGAAGACTTAGCTGCTGTGGTTGTATTGTCGTTGTCTGACAACCTATCTTAAAACAAATGAATTCATATTTGAAAAATATTGTGACCCCACAGGGTTCAGACGACCCTGTGATCGATATATTTGGTTCCTTATTTTAGATTATAATTGCCATTGGTATATCCTGGATAATCTGTATTATACTGACGGCTACTAATGTTTTCTCGAATGAACCAGAGGGCTGGGGTTATGGTGCAAGAACCGATATTACATCAGATGTTATAGTAAAAGCCGATTGGTTCCGATTTCCATATCCAGGTACTATTGCTTTACATCCGGGTTTAGTTTTTTGTTGCCTTTATTTTTATTTTATGCTTTGTATATGCACACATGTTGGCGTATATAGACTCAGGTTGTCATTCATTTTCAACTATTCCGATATCATTGCTAGAGTCACTCGGCTATATCGCTTTGAATAAACTCACGGGCGCTTTGAAGTTATAACCTGATCGAATTCAAATTAATACAAAGGATTTATTTTAATACCGTGAAAACTGCTTGATATGGTTCTTGAAACGCACGTGTATACGAGGTATACAGGGCTGCCGACAACCAGTATCGCAGCGCAATTTGCGATACATATTTTGTCCGTTGCTAACCAAAAATTAAAATCTAACGTTTTTGATTCGCAGTTACTGCGAATCATCAATATGCCTGTCATTTTGGATATTGACACAAGAATAATCCACATTTTGAAGACTAGAAGGCTTACTCAACACTTTCAACGTGTATAAAATGTTGAATAAAATTTTATAAACAAAACTGAATTCTCCGTGTGACATTTTCTTCTCGAACTACCAGACACAATACTATATAACACATAACTCTATGAATAGGGACTATTAAACCGGAAATAGGGAATCAAGTAGTACCACTCACGTTGCGAGACATCAAGTAATTATATCATATTCATTTTGAAAGAAATAAATCCAATGTATCCCCCACGTATTGTAAATAAAATATAAAAAAATAAATACATGTTAACGTATTGTAAAATGATAAATCAAAGTAAAAATTCCCGTAAAACATTATTGTTTATATCGTGTGTGTCTAGTTAATCGAGGTGTGTCCGATTGAAGAAAAATAGTAATACACGATAAAAAGCAGACGAAATTGTTTTCTAACGAAGATTTCTAACGTAACAAAAAAATAACAATTAAAATGAGTGGGGCTTCGGAAGTCACTGTCAAGAATTGGCTTCAGACATAAGACCTAACTAAATTTCTACATCACATTCACAAAATGTCACAAGTACTTGTGGCAGTGCTAAAAAATCTAAGAATAGTCAGAATGGAATCTAATCATATTTGTTATGAGCTAAAGTAATATCTTGTTATTTAGGTGTTTTACATTGAAACTGAAAAACTGCTAATCAATTTTTAAATTTGCTAATCAAATTTGGCGAAATTGGACTTTTTGATTAGCAGTGCTGCTAATCAACTGTGAAAAATTACCGACAGCCCTGGAGGTATATGAGAAAAAAAAACCCCGAATAAATCAATTTTCGACTGTAAAAAAAGGTACCATATGAACATTTCACGATTGCTATAAAAATACATTCGATGTGAAAAGGAGAAACAAATAGATACGGTACCACTCTAGTTCCATGCACACGAAATCGAGTCAAAACGCTATACATGTACTGTGTGTAATTTGTTGGTCGGAATGAAGATTTATACATATGTGTCCACTCGACACAAACTAGGTCATTTCGGGACTAACACATTTTTCAATTTTATTTCAATAATTCGCTTGTGCGTAGGGGTCTTTAGCAGTGGGGGGGGGAGGACCCGGAGGAAACCAACGAGGTTGGACAGGCGACCCTAATCCTTGTCACGTACAACCGGGGAATCGAAACCACGCCAGTTGACTCAATGACAGACCGTATGATACAGCGCGAACGTGCTTACCATTCGGCCATCCATACCCCACCAACTCACTGAGAAGCCGCGGTGGTTCAGTGAGTAAGACGTTGACTCACTAACCTGGAAGTCCCTTGTTCGATTCTGGTGTTGGTTGAGAAAGTTCATCGGGATTTTCGGGCGTTGTCTGCTAGCCTGGAGGTCGCGAGTTCGCTCCCGGGGATTTTCCGGTGTTGTGTCCCCTTGTCAGTGATGCATACCGGAGGATCTGACAAGGACAGCTGCCTAGCCTTTTGGATAGGACGAAAACCCGAGGTCCCATGTACATATTGGAATGCACGTAAACGACTCTTTGGCACTTGCAATGCGATGCGATGTAAGAGTATGCCGTATGGCCGCTGCCTGGGCAAAATGTCCCTTATCGCACATTGTGTGGCGTATTCCCATCTTCATTAGCCCAGTCGGTGCAGAACAGTATGACGATAAACCTCATTCCATTTCATTTCCAAGCACATTAAAATATCACCACGCCCATCTTGTATTTCAGGTCAATGGGGAACTCCAACAGTATCAGTATCAGGAGTTATCGGTATGATGGCAGGGGTGTTTGTTTCTATCATTGAATCTATAGGAGATTATTACGCATGTGCCAGATTATCAGAAGCACCACCTCCGCCTGCAAGTGCTGTTAGTAGAGGTAAAACAATATCTTCATCTATAAAAACAACTGGAATCAATATAAAGAAACAACTGATATTTAAGTAGACTTTTGAATTTCAGTTGTCGAGAATTATAAAATTAACACGCTGGCCGGTTTCTCCTGAATGAGACAATAAACTAGATTCAAAAAGAAAAACAAAACAACAAAAAAAACCCAAAATACCAGTAACAACGCTGGCTTCGCATTGTAACAAAAACAACAAATCAGATCACTAATACAACTTCCCGTATGTTACGTGTAATTATTCATAGTCCCTCTCAAACACTGCTGGGTTGACTGACGATTCCTGTCCCAAATTATGGCTGGTTAACAGACGTGTTAACAACCAATCCATTAGACGTAACAAATCAATCGGGATTAATCGGGACTCTAAATATGTTGACGTAAATGTGTATAATGAGAAACGCGGCCACTAAACGTCACCGCGCAAGAAATTCATTATTTATGGGTGTTTAACCAGAGAAAATAAGATTACGGAAAAACTAATTGCGTGATAAATGAAGGGCGGAAAAACTAAGTTCCGTGTACACATTACATTGGTGTACACGTAAAAGAACCCTTGACAGTTGGAATTCATAATACGAGTAGGCCGTAGCGCCGCTACACTGTAAAAAATATCCATTTTTTATGTGGCCGAATTCCGTAATTTAACACATTTTTTCTGTTAATCGATGGATTTTTTGGAGAAATTGTGTTAATAGTGTGAATTATTTCTTCAAATTACGTGTTTTATGTATTTCTGTGGAATATTCAGTATTAAACAGGAAATTTCCGTGAAATTTAGGGATAAAATGTTTTATTCCCTTCTATAATGGACTTAATTCTGTTATTTTACGGAATAAACGGTGGAATTACAAGGAAGTTCCTTGAAATTTAGGGATAAAATGTTTTATTCCGTTCTGTAATGGACTTAAGTCTGTTATTTTACGGGATAAACGGTGCAACGATAAGTAATCGTACACCTAATAATCATTCCTAATAATCATCATGTTATAGTATTCATTTCAATTTATTAACCATAATATGAAGAATCATATTTTGTAAAGTTTGGTATATTAATTGTCATGTATATCCAATTTCCATTATTTATAAGATCTATAAAGTGTATTGTTATTCATCATACGGAAATCAGATTGTAAGTATTTTCATAAATATATATAAATATGTTTTTTTTAAAATGCTGCGTGTGTTAAGGTTGTAATATCTGGTAATCAAGCACGTTTAAATCCGGATAGCACAACCGGTTGGCCAGTGTAAGTCGCTTTGTCTCTATTGCAGAGTCTACATACCTGCGAATTGATAATACCGCAAACTTACATCTGAAAGCCTCCAACCACTGACGAGTAGCGGTTTGTGATAACTTGCTTTCGATTCTTATATTAACGAAAAGAACTTACGTTTAAAGATTATCTGCGATATCACTTCGGTGGAAGCGGACGTTAAATAAAGCTATTTCACGCACGCGTATAAAGTCAATGGTTAATTCAATGAAATTTTAATCACCTTCATCATCGTCAGGAAACAAAATTTACCAGGATTTTTTTTTTCTGTATTTGAAAATGGAATTTCTGTTAATTGAGGGAATTTGTGTAAATTACAGGAAAAACAAATACGGATAAAGTTTTCCTGGTAATTTTTGTTTCCGGAATTTTTTACGTTTTTTCACGGACATTTTTGTTACAGTGTAGCGGGGCAAAATTTCCCCCATAGCACATGGTATGGCGTATAACCGCCTTCATTGGTTTAGTTGGTGCAGAACATTAGGAAGTTAAACCCCATTTCATTTATGGTTCCAATTTTCTACACTAATGGGTATGGTCTGGCTTATATTTAGAGCGGCTGTCGTCTATGCGTTATGACATGTACGTGACTTTAGTGCGTTTACACTACATCATAATAATAAAATATGAAATACAAATTAAAAAAACGAAAGAAAAAAAGAACCGAATTGAAAAACTATTTCTTTACTAAATATATACTTATTATTCTGAAACTGCACGGATACAACCCGTGAATAATATCATGAATTATTAATCAATAAAGAACAATTTATTTAGCAAAAAAGAGTTTATCCGAATTTCGAAAAATATTCTTTGTTAAAAAAATTAAAACGTTGAAAAGTTTCAGTACTCTCGTTCGATTCAGTTTCATCCGATTCTACACAACTTAGGACCACATATCGAACTATCGATGATACAGGACTTGAAGGTGGCGAAGTTGTTGGACTTGTAGTGGGTGATGTTGTTGGACTTGTAGTGGGTGATGTTGTTGGACTTGTAGTGGGCGATGTTGTTGGACTTGTAGTTGGTGATGTTGTTGGGCTTGTAGTGGGTGATGTTGTTGGACTTGTAGTCTGTGATGTTGTTGGACTTGTAGTTGGTGATGTGGCTGGGCTTGTAGTCTGTGATGGTGTTGGACTAGTTGTTGGTGAAGCTATGTCACTAACGGCAACGACGTCTGGACTTGTCACTGGGCTTGTTGCAGGCGATGTTGGGGTACTAGCAGGGGCCCCACATGTATCACAACACACATACTGTGAAAGCTCGACAGGTAGCAATGGACAAGGAAGACCGGCACACGCGAAAGATGGGTCATCCCCTTGTGGACATGTAGCTACAGAACCAACAAAAAAATAATAACGCAGTACTGAGAAAAATTATTTAAAAAGAAGATATGGATATGATGATTTGGAGATAAGATGTAGTACAAGAGGGGTGGGTGTTCAAGCTTTGAATTTCCAAGCATGGCCTGGAGAGTAAAATATCAGATAAGACTTCGAGGGGAATTTAGAATTTATGATCAGGTAGACAGGTCTGGGTGGAAGATTATTAGGAAGATAGCTCTAGAGGTGATGGTTTTGGCGACGATTTTGGAATGTTTTAGGAAGATCGGTCTCGAAATGATATAGATAGGTTATTACACTTACTTTTTTTAATCGGGGCACGTTGGTCAAAAACACACACGCCGCCTTTGCACCACTGAAATAACAATAATAATTTCAAAGATAGTCACACAAACCATGGAAATCCGCCCACAAAGAAGCCATAGACAGCAGCTTACCTAAAGGAAAGCTCGGATGTTGGCCAATTATCAAGAATCCTTCCGATCTCTATCGTGACCACAAGTTTGCAAAAAACTGTTAAACAAGCGGTTGTCATGCAAGCAAGATACGCCCATATTTTGCAAGAGATGGCCAGCGAGCAAGCTGAAAAAAAAGCGCCATTTTACGTAAAATCAGGGGCCATAATGCAGCCAGTTACGATCGGATACGCCTTTTTGTCTGGCAGTTTCGGTTCGAAAATTTGAACCGTTATTTTGGTTTAACAGTGATAAATTTAAACGTTTTTTTTTTTTAAATCGGATACAAATTAACCACAATCTGATTAAAATACAGATCCTATTGTGTTAGGTTGCCAGGCAACGAAACATACGCCCACAGCAGCTAAATCGTCCGGGCAGTCAACAAGAGTTGTCGCATATTTTTACTTTTTTCGGTAATGAAATAGTTATAATACACTAAAATCTGATTAAGCGTAACAACTCATTAAGTAATTATTAGAAAATCATTAGAATTTGTTTGGCTTTGATAAAGTTCTCCTATACGAAACATTTAATATCATGGATTTAGCTGTTCAAGTTATCAAAATTCATTGAGAATCAATATACTTGTTCCTCTCAAGACCTTAAACTCTGTGTATCAATCTAAAGTGAATCGGATGTAAACTTTAGCTTCTATAGTGTCCACAAGATTTTTTGAAGTGATCAAGGGTCATAACTCTCCCAGTAATTATCGGAAAACGCTGAAAATCAAGAGGCTTCTTCGTCTCATGACCTTAAACACTGTGTATAAATTTAAAGTCAATCGAATATTAACTTTAGCCTCTAGAGCCGTCGACAAGATTTTTTGAAGTGATCAAGGGCCATAACTCTGGCAGTAATTATCGGAAATCACTGAAAATCAATAGGTGTCTTCGTCTCATGACCTTAAACACTGTGTATAAATTTAAAGTCAATCGGATATTAACTTTGGCCTCTAGAGCATCCACAAGATTTTCTGAAGTGATCAAGGGCCATAACTCTGGCAGTAATTATCGGAAATCGCTGAAAATCATAGGATTCTTCGTCTCATGACCTTAAACACTGTGTATAAATTTAAAGTCAATCGGGTATTAACTTTGGCCTCCAGAGCATCCACAAGATATTTTGAAGTAATCAAGGGCCATAACTCTGACAGTAATTATCGGATCGACGGACGGACGGGGGCGACGACAATATACGACCACATTGATATGTGGTCGTATAAAAAAACGATACAAAATATCTGTATTTTAATTAGATTGGATTAACCAGACATGTATGATTAAAATAAAATTACGGTACTGGAATTCTAATCATTTTAGGGCGCTGCAAATTTGGCACTCAGTTTTGGGTCAAATTTAATAGGACGATGTGGCGTACCAAAGGGCTATGCCATTATTCTAACATGGTGGTTACAAAATGTTTCAGTTATTATAAATTCAGCAACAACTCATAATTATTAAAAATGTGAAAACGCGACACGATGCGTAAATTTTGCGGCTTACTTTCAAGAACAATAGCTATAAAATAGAAATTTCCAGATTGATACATAATACGGCACAACCAACCATTAAGTGGTAATTCAAACACAAAAGATATATTATTATTATTATTATTTAATACATTTATATAGCGCATCTTTCACCAAAGTGTTCAGATGTGCTTAACAATAACAAAGTAAAATACAATTTATAATAAAAAGAAGTTCCTAAAAATTCAATTTATAATAAAAAAGAAGTTCCTAAATAAAAAAGTAAGAAGAGAGAGACAATGTAAAAATGACATAAATTTTTTTAAAACTACCCATAAAACAGTCAAATGTGTAAAATCAGTAAAAAGCCTGTTTGAATAAATGAGTTTTCAAGTGCGATTTGAATGTAATGATGGAAGGTGATTTC